TGCAGAACTGCAGTCAGCTGAAGTAGCCTGCAGTGCTGCATTTAACCACTGCGCCACCTCGGTGAAGATCTTGTGGGACTTTCGAATACAAACGGATCGTCATTTGGAGCACAACACGCCAGATATCGCAGTTGTGGAGGGCTGAAGTGTACAGTTTATTGATATCGCGGTTCCTGGAGATGCCAGAGTCGAAGAAAAAGAACTAGGAAAAATCATAAAATATCACGACCTGGCCATTGAAACTACGTGATTATGGATGACACATAATTGTCATTGGGGAACTTGGTACCATGTCCAAGAATTTTACAAGATACATCAACACATTGCAGCTTCCTGCAATCACACCAGCGGAACTGCAAAAAAACTGCGTTACTCGGAACATCTCATATTTTAAGAAGGTCCTTGGGTGATACCCTTATCGGCAATCTCCTGCCTCTTTTTAAAGAATGGAGTAACTCCACTGGGGTTTCAGTTTAGAAAAAGGCAGTGAGTCCAACCCACCTAATTATTGTCTAATCAGCTGGTTGTGTGTAATCAGCAAAATTACATCTTTATCACCAGCTGGGAAGGGAAAAGCGGCTGGGCTGTAGAACAGGACGGGCTGCATTTAATGGAAGATGGTGTTTGATTTAATTTCTGGAGCTGGTTTAATGCCAACATTGTCAGTCTCTTAAGTAGCTGCCTTCTCCAGTCATGCTGCTCCATGAGAACGCAAGGTAGTGGAGAATTATATTTTAATATGTAGCATACCTATGTGTAGATAAAACAGATTAAAATCTGGATATATGTCTATGGAGATCATCTATCTCCAGTTTACAACACAGTCCTTTCAGCAGTCCCGAGAAGGCTCCACGCCCATTTGCACCACTCAGGTGACCCTGAGGACACAGATAAACCTCCAAGTGGCCTCAATGACCCTCTAAAAGGATGCAAATGACCAATTCTGCCTGCAAGGAATAAAAATCCTTCCATTCCCCACCATCCAGACCGAGCCGAAGAAGCTTCTTGGATGAGAAGTGAAACGTCTTCGAAGAAAAACCAGGAAGTCCAGTTATCATCTTTGGATACAGGGATAAAATCTGGATCATGGATGGGGCACTGTTTTGACCCCCCCTCCATATGGTGAGTCACGCCGACACAAGATTACTGCTAGACAATTTATTCACAGTAAATTAACACACTGACAAGACTTCTGCAGCAACCCAGACTTCCACAGATAAGAAATACACACAAGAGTTCTCCAGATTTAGTATAATAGTTGAGTCCTGCAAACAGCCT